ATTATTAATAGTTGTAATGATTTCTACATCGTCAGTTCTTTTTTCTGCTCTGTTGTCAACATGTACAGAAATGGGAAATTCAGACTCTTGCCCGTTTAGTGTTAGCCATTAGCTTGTCCAGCCGATCACACGGTCACCTGGTTTTAGCACACTCCAGCTGTTCTACAGAACCTCCTTGGTTGCAGCATACCGTGTCCTAATACAACCATACGGGTTATCAGAACTCTCTCGGTATCAACGGAGTGGAACATTCTTGTGGCGTGTGTTGTTACTTGCCCAACCGTAGTCCTGCTTTACTTCCTGACACAGTTTGGGTGCGATATTAGAGAAATACATTTGCAAAGCGATAAACAAAGCTCCATGTCAGAGCAAAGACTGGAGGCTTTAAAGCAGAGGAGCCCAAAGTGGGGCAAGCCATTTGATTTGGCCCACCAACAGTTGCTAAAGTTACAAGGTTGTAACCTGTTATCCTATAGAAACACAGTATTTCCATTGGTCAAATGACTATATAAAAGGGCTGTAGTGAAGGTAGTTTTCATTCATGGTGCTGACTATATCTTTGATTTATTAGGATTAAACATGAAACACGAAATGACAAGAAATATTTAGACCAGATTTAACCCCACATGTAGATTTGTACACTCATATTGCAAAACTCATATTTGATCAATTTATGAAATGTCCCATGAGCCTTTGCTATTTGAGTGTATGGTAGACTTTCGTGCACAGACTAAAACAAAAGAGGGCCATTGCATAGCTTAATCGTTAAAAGTAAAGGACTTTAAAAAGTATTTGTATTTCATGTATCATAATTTATATTACAGTATTTGGCCRGGAGCCCTGGATAGATTTTCATTTTGGCCCTCTCGGGGAAAATGTTTGGGCACCCCTGCTTTAAAGAGTCCAAATCCTCCGCAGTGAAACAGGTGCGCTGTCAGCTGTTTCACACAACTCCTCTGTGAACATATCATTCCTGCTTTTAATGAGGCGAATAAAATGAGACATCAAGCTGCTGTTCTGTGATTGACAGCTCGTTGAAGGTTACAGCAATCGCTGCCGCGGTTCAACAGCTCTCACACAATTAGAGCAAATGATTAAACACAAGGGAAACTCACCATACAACGTCCTACAATCTACTCTGATTAATAAAACCTCAATAAAACTGTCCTTTTTATTACAAATGAGACTAATAAATAGTTTATTAAAACCTTTAGCTGTGTAAATGTGTTTAATAAGCTCGCAGCTGAACATGTTTTTTTTTTTGTCTGCTCTTGTTTGCTTGGGGTCACCTCAGGTCAACAGGCGGTTTTAAAATTTAGGATCGGATAGGTTCAGACCGCTAAATGTTTTTTGACTCAAAGAGTCCAGACCACCTCGGAAGGTGGTTTGAGTCAAAATTTCCATGAAGGCAGTTCAGGCCCAGCATTTAGTGCTACTGGTTTACAGTCAAAAAGCTAAAGATGTAATTGAAACAGCAGCAGAAAGTGGGCGAATCTGTGTGTGACATAAAACAGAGGAGCCTTTTAAAGTGATAGCTCAGATCTTTAGATTGACGTGAGATTCTGTGGAAAAGTTATAACGGATTAATGTTAACGTATTTCCTGTGGTAGATTAGTTAAATAAGATAAATAATTTATTAATCAAATATGAATGATGAAAATGCATATCTTATACACTAAAAACAGACACAATAATCAATAATATTCTAAAGCAGCCAACCATCGTAAAAGTTAAAAATATTGAAGGCAGAAAAGGCAGTTAAGACCATAAAACAGCATTTGTTTCCTGTCCCAGCAAGCATCAACTCCCCTTTCATGATAGAACAAGTTTCTGTCTTTGTTAAAACATTATATTGCTCTTTTGGTGCAAAACTGTTTTTCACCTGTTTCATGTCATACTTGGACCTGCACAGATTTCAGCTCCATGTTTTGATCCAGATGTGATTTTCTGCTGTTGGACATGTTTTCCTGCAGGCTCACATTCACAGAAGTAAAGGTGATTGAATAAATTTGTGGGGAAAGTCGCAGTGATCGGTCAAAAAATGCAAGTCTGAGTGATATTGGKTGAGTTCGGTTTAATTAGTGTTTAATAGTTGCGATCACAACATTTCATTTTCCGGAAGGGACTGACCTATTCTCGTGCACACCACACTGGACCTACTTGGCCCACTTTGTACCCACCTTAGCAGGRTCCACGTTCACGTGACACAAGTACACTTGGAACCAAAAGTAAGAAAATTTGTGTTTGGTGGATTAGTTCTTTGTTGTTATGATTGGCTGTGTCTACATTCAGGGATCGCAGCCAAAGTAAAGCACATTTGTAGGCCACTTARGTCGCCGCCTCGCTCTATAGGCTGTCCCAGTTCGTTTGGCACATACTCACGAGGCCAACAAAACCCTGAAAATGATGGCGGAGTTTGGAAAATCATGACAGACTGAAGAATTTGTTTTTAAATGTGTGTTTAGCAACTTAGCTGATGACATTTTTGCTGCAATGAAATGTTAAATAAAATGCATTTATGTACTGATACTGGAACTAAACCCAAATTATTAAGGTTTTTATTTATTTATAGATAACATACTTTTAATACTAGTGAARATATGATAAAAMCCACCATGGTTATGGAGCAGTGTGTGGTCGTGCAAATATACAGTACATCATCCAAAGACTAGACCGACTCATTTCACAGCTGTTTTATGCGACATAAACAGATAGTCTAAGGCCCACATAGGATGTGGTCTGAGCTGTGGTCTATGTGGGCTGATAAATCTTACAGTGGGCATCTTACTGGCAGCACAAAATCAACATCAAAGTAAGGTGTTTGACAGAAGATTTGGCAAATTTTTCATGTTCAACCCACATTCGCAGCTCATTCCATTCATTCATTCCACAAATGATCCTTACAAATGTGGCACCATTTAAAAGGGAAATTAACAGACTTTCCAACGGTATAAGATTTATTGACAGGAAGCACAAAGAAATAATCTACAAAACACAAATTTCCTTWCCTTTTGTTCTAAGTTTATTTGCAGAGAATCTTAATTTAATTTTTAATTGTAAATAGCGGCAGCAGCTTCAATGCAGCCTAAAAAGCCAAGAAAATAATATTAGCTTGTTGCTTTCAACTCATAATTAATAAAACTACAACATGCTGTACTTTGTAAATTCACATGGACATAATTGTTGGTACCCCACTGTTAATGACCAAAAAGCCCACAATATTATTATTTGCTAATCTTCATCCTGTAGATGATCACAATGTTTGTCTGGTCTGTTGGAGGAGCATGCAGTCTGTTGGCTCACTGACCTCAGACAACCTGTGCATAACGAGTCTCATTTGTTGCCTGAATCAGACCTGAGAGATCTGKAGTGGTACAGATTAGGGACTCGTTTTTCTTTCTTCATTGTTAGAAGATTTAAACCCATTTTAGTTTCTGAGTAAAAAAATAAAGTCAAAAAGTTCAAGAGTTTACTCTAAAGCCCATAACTTGAGTTTAGTCAGAGTTCAAAATGCCCAAAGTGTAGTAAGTTAAAGTTTCTGATTGATTAATTTGTTTAAAATGTTGAGGTTTAAGAAAAAGGATAAATTCAGCCTAAATGTATTAAACTTCCTGGCTGTTGTCATCAGTTCAGAATTTATAGAGTTAAGAAAATGCATCCGGTTTTATGGGTAAAACTGCTGATATGTTTTCTGTTTCCTCCACTCCTTATCTCTGTGTAGACAGTTCTGCTGTTTCTGTGGAAAAAGTAAACACTAATACTAAAACATGAATCAGAGCTGATAAGCTTCCTTTAAGGTTCTTCTCAACTCAGAAAATGAGATAAAAACCTGCTGCATCTATGAACATCCTGTTCTGTTATCACCTGTCATAGAATGATTTGTGGAAACTTAATTACAGGTTTTATTTTATTTAAATCAGGGGTTCTTAACTTTTTTGACGTCGGGGCCCTATTTGTTGAACATAAAGTGGCACGAGGCCCAGTCAGACATTGCCAAATCAAAATGATGTTTATTCTAAATCTTGGTTTAATTTTTTGTATTTGCATTATAACTAAATCAAATAGACAAAGTTTAAAAGTAAAACTCCTGTCAAATAATCACGAGACATGATTATGACAAACATTTTTAATATTGAAACCTGCCCATAACAATTATTTGAATAAATACAAAGGTCTCCTGATGCATCTCAGTAATCCAGGTAAAAAATCAAAAAGAAAAAAATTGTATAGGTCCTCTGGACGGGTTCTTCTCTAYTGAAACGTTTCGTCTCTCCTCAAAGAGACTTCTTCAGTCTGAGAGTTTCAGGCAAAATTCAGGCTTTTGAGTCCTGCCTCCATGTGACTGATACTCACATCACATGGCTATCGTTGACACCAAATTAACACGTATTGTTAACAGGGGGTGGAGTGATACTGGCTATAGCAGCGCTGTAGGAGGGGGACAACTGAAAACGGAGGCCTCCACTTCTGTTTAATGATGGACGGTCTTTGTTCAAAAAAATGGCTTCTTTTACTCCTCTCTCAAACCAACGTTCCTCTCTATCAAGAATGAGAACATCCTCATCTCTGAAAGAGTGACCGCTGGCCTGTAGATGAGTGAAAACTGCAGAGTCTCTGGTGGAGTCTCACTCCACCCCCTGTTAACAATACGTGTTAATTAGGTGTCAACGATAGCCATGTGATGTGAGTATCAGTCACATGGAGGCAGGACTCAAAAGCC